CCAGGGAGACAGCTCCTAAGGGAACTCTAGGACTTAGGTAAGACTGGCCATTACTGAGGCGAAAGCACCGAAGAATCTGGGTCTTTGGGACGGGATCGTTTATACGGCAAAGCACCAAAAGCACACTTCACAGTCCCCAAAAGAAGGAGTTTTTAAACATTTAAAATTAAATGTTTTCTTTTGAGCTAATTAGAGCTGCCCCAGGGTGTTTGATGCCCAGCACCCGTATGTTTCCAAACGTCCGCGTGTGGGGCTCCTGTTCTGCTTTTACACAGAAACCTGCAGAGCCTCTTCACAAGCAGAATGACCAATGGGTTAGTGACACACGCAACACAAGTTCAATGGAAGTGTGAAGCAGGAATGAACCATCCACCCGAGCCTGTCTGCTCCGCCCCTGGTTTACACCCGCTGAGAACCCTGAAGAACGGGGTGGGTGTGGTGCTGGAACGAGGATGAAGGTAAAGCTTTGGTAGCAAAGAGTCAAATCGGACTCACAAGGAAACATGCTTGAGGAATTATTTGTATACTTCATTTCCCAGGCCCTCCCATCCAACTTTATCAGGTTTTATTGAAATGAGACTAGACTTAAGTTACTGTCAATACCAAAATCTCTATTCTATAGATGAAATAAATAAAAAAATTTTTCAATTTAAATTTTCCAGAGGGAGTGGCTGGGAGGAAGAAGGCTTGCCTAGCACGCATGAGGTCTGGGTCAGTCAAACAAAGAAACAAGCAAGAAACCACTGCAGCTCTCTCGTGTGGCCAGCTCTGCGGAAGGAAGTCAGGAAGAGAGGACCGAAGGGACTGGTGCGAGGGGCAGGGAGAGAACACTGGCACAAATACACGGAGAGGCCGAGATCGGACACCGGAGGGCAGAACGGGCAAAAGGAACGCGAGAGGACAGTGAACCCACAGTGAAGCGCGAAGCTCACAAGCAGACCAGCAGCACAACAAAAAGGACACATACAGACGGGGCGAGGACAAACGCGGGCACACAGGTTTGCTGGAGACGTTCCTTCCCACCTCAGACCGCTAACGGCTTTGGCCTGCGTGACGCACTTGGGCGACCACGCCGCGCTCTGGAGCTACATCATGGGTAGGGGTGGGGGAGTCACTGCCGGCCATGGAAGTGGCGGGGAGCTCATCACGGAGGAGGTGGCCCTGGAATCCCCTGCCAGAAGACCACTCTCAGAGTCGGGCTCCGGTCAGTGTCGCCAGCAGGAGGAGAATAATGACTCCTGAGGGCTGCACAGAGGGAGTGGCCAGCGTGGGCTGGGGACTGCAGTGGACATCAGAAAACAGTGACTTCCAGCATCAAACCTTCCTCGACCTCAGGGAGCCTCAGCCCTGTGTGTGGGAAGAGAGGCACAGCCACCTCCTCCTCAGCCGCTTAGCCCAGGTCATGCACTCACTCAGGGAAGGAGCAGGTAGCAATGACTGTGGAGAGGAGTCTACTTGTTAAAAATACTAGCCAGCAATTCATTTGTTCCTAAGATTTTGTGCTACCCTACCGTAAAAGTTCAAGGCCAGACAAATGAATGCAAGAGTCTCCTGAAGTTTGTCCTGACTTCGTGGACAGCATACTAAGAAACCACTCCTGACCCACTTAATTACATCAACAGTCCCTGGCACCAATCTTCTTTTATTAATTTATCATCTGCTTCTTGAAGGCAACTGTGGCAGATATACAATACAGGCAAAAAAAAAAAAAAAAAAAATACAACAAACCAGTATAAAGTGGAAATATAGAAATAAAATACTAATGGCACAACACGTTTTCTGTATGTTCTTGGTGCAGGATTTAAGGGAAAGTAGTAGACAAAAACTAAACAGCAAGACGAAGTGCTCTTGCAATAGTTAAAATTCATAAGAGGGCACAGCTTGGTAACATACATCAGAAGGGCCATCGAAGTCTTAACTTCTGATCATTCAGCTAGAAGCTAATGCTACAAGCAGCAAGATTATCTTGAAATGCTCTTGATGAATGCATTATCTTTCACTTCATGAAAATGAAAAAAAAAAAAAAAAAGAAAGAACTTCAGATGAAACGAAACGAGAACCAGCACAATAGATAGTTATAACTCCTCAAGAAGAAACGGAGGTGCGATCTGTCTTGTAAAGCTATTTCAGACAACTTGCCAGAGGTGGGTGGGGTGAAACCACGTTGCTCTATTGATAACGCCGATGGGATATACAGTGATGCAGGTGGGGGGATGACAGATCTGAACATCAAAACTGGTTTATTGGAAAGCTACTGTCTGTACGTAACAGGCTGCTTTAAATATTAACTCTCAATATTCATACTTTAATATCCAGAAGACAGACTCTATTTTACGGATAAGTGACCTATAAATTTCTATCAGAAAAAAATATATTTCCTCCTGTATTTACTTTCTGGAAATACATGTTTTAAGAAAAGACTTCTAAGAAGGGAAAATATATGTTGCTTAAAAATTAATGAGTTAAGAAAAAGAAGTCTTTTATATACCTAGAGAAATATAAAATTAGTAATTGCTGTAAAGTCAAGCTATATGACTTAAGTCATATGAATTTTGTTTAAAAATTTAACTTTACAACTTCCTGTCATTTTAAATTCATGTAGGAAATAATGGAGAGGTATCATAACCCTTTACCTATTTCTTCCAATTATACCGTCTTTCAAAATTTACAATGAGACTTGCATGTTACAAAAGAACGGAAATTATCCAGGTTGCCGAGCCATAAGATTCACTGTAGAAATTAGCAAGCCACCTTCATTTACCCACACAGCAACCTTCATCGATGTGTGCAGGCCAAGCAAGAAAACCCTCACTTTCTCTGAAACACTGGAAAACTTACAAATTCATATAGCATTTTAAGAGTCACAGAATGAAAGGTCTTAGGCTTGTGCTTTAAAAAAAAAAAAACCCATAAGCTTTATTTTGGCACCTAAATTTCTAAACCGGTGTAAGTTGACATGCTTTCAAGAAATAAAATTTTAAAAAACCAACAATTTCACATTCTTGTTTCAAATTGCATGTAACCCACTGGCTTTCACTTTGTAAAAACCCCTCCCACCGAGTCATCTTCGAGGATTTCGGAGATAGGGGCCTAGCCAGGATTATGTCATGAATTTGACAGTAGAAAGTACAGTTTAAGAAGAACCAGGGACTGATTCCTGCTTCTCCAAATGCTGTCCTTCTCAAATCTCTGAGACAGATGTGTTCAGATCTGGCGAGCTCTGCTCTAAAATCAGGGCCATGCAGAGAGCGTGGCTAGAAGTTCAGGATGACACCGGGAAGTCGGCGGGGCGACAGAGACTGATAATCAGCCTCCGGAAGACCAAGGTCACGAATCAGCCCGCACTGAGTGAACCCTACACGTGACTGAAACCTTTCACTGGCGATACCAAGCTGAAGGCTGTCACTGAGGCGTCTTATCTCTGCAGAAGGCTGTCAAGCGTTGCAAGTCGAGTAGAAAACCGCATCAGTGAGCCCAGTGCACTGCCTCTGGCAGGCTTCCAGAACGGGCACAAGGGGGGCACTCAACTCCAACTTCTGATTACAGCCAAGGTGGCAAGCTCCCCGCAACCACACTCAGACAGCCTAAAAAGGAATGCCCCATCACAGGCTTCCACAAGACACCTGCACTTCAAATTTGAAGCAAGACCACTGGCAGAACCTGAATGTGAACGACAAACACACAACCTACGCTGAAGAGTGAAAAGGTGTGTGAACACAGCAGTGCTGGTACACAAGCTCTTCCTGAGCAGAAGGAATCAAGGCCCAGGACCGGGGACTGCCGTAAGACAGGAAGGACAACTGCTTAGGAAGGCGTAATAAAAAGAGCCCCAAGCCTGCAGTCACCGCAATGAGTCAGTGGGGAGCAATTCTGTGGACAAGCCAGGCCAGCTCAAAGCAATCGCCCATGAACACTCAGACAAATGAAGGTCTGGAGAAGAAAACGGAACTCAACGTTACACGTGCAGCCGGTTAGGGTCAAAGGAAAGGCAACGCTGCGACTCACAGCACGCGTGAGACCAAAGGGCAGAACGTGCCGTCACTGCAGCCCGGGACGGGGCCTCCCGCGGGCGAGCTCCTGCACAGGTGGCTAGGAGTGGCCTGTAGCGGCATCCTTCGCCACAAAGTGCTCTTTAGAGAGGAGAGAAAGAAAGAGCAAACTTATTTTAATGGTTGTAAGGTGTCAGAATCATCTCTAGGACTCCACCCAACCCCAGGCAGTAGTAAGCAGCACGCAATACAACATCCCAGTGTGGACTTTCAAACTGGACTAGGGAGCCCAGCAAGGCATTTGCGTTTCCTTACACGGACCATCCGGAAACGGAGCTGGGCACCACAGTCCCTAACAGGGAGGGAGGTCTTCGGTATTAGCAATGGTAAAGGAATGACGCCATCTATTCACAAGTCCCCAAACCACAAAGACAGTAAGGAGAAAGAAGCAGAGAGATCAAACCAGACATCGGAAACACTAAGAGATGCTTAGCTTCACTCCGAAATACTAAGAAATATTACCAAAGCACAACCTCAAGGATGAGAAGGGTTTTATTTCCACTGGCACACCGGACACAGTGCTGTCCGACAGAACTCTGCACGTGCTACCCAAAATGGGACCTTCCAGCTATACGTGGCTGCGGAGCTTCAGAAAACTGCCCACCACAACTGGTGGACTGAATTTTACTCTTAATTTTCAGTTACACTACACAGCCATACGTGGCTAGTGGCTACCTTACCGGATTAGATTTCTGAAAGTCCATTCTACATCCTTCGTATGTATTAACTCACCGAATCATTGTATACGGACTAGGGCGGTACTACATTACTATGGACTTAAAAGAAGTAATTTGCCCAAAGCCACCAAGCAGGTTGTTAATAACCGAAGGCCAGTGGAAGCTCCCTACAGTAATGTGCTTTATTTAAGAAGCAGGACAGGGTAAACATGAACACCAGACATACCAAACGTATTTCATGATGACCAACGGAAAAGTAAAGAATGCCACGCACCTGTTTTCCCTGTGTTCTTCATCCAGGTTTTGTTAGAAGACTCATTGCCAAAGCCGTCGAGTTGCAGCTCCTGGTACTCTTCTCCGACGCGCGCATGATGGTCTTCGATGTCGATGGGGGACTGGTGGTGGCCTCCGCAGCTGACGCTGGACGTGACCCAGTGCTCAGGGCCATAGGCACCTGTTGAAAGGAAAGCACATCTCAATGTACACGGCTCAAGGGCCAGGGATGGAAAAATAAGACTTAGCACACCAAGGGGCTCATGTTCCAAAGTCCATTTTGCAGCATGTCCTCATTTCAAAGAAATCAGTGCAGAACCGAAAACTAAGAATCAGATCCATCTGCTGGATGGGGCAAGATTTCAGAAAAGACACGTTACTTAAGGGAGGTTTATTTCTTGATTTGCAATCAAACGTTCGCTAACTTAATGTTTAATCAGATTCAGGAAGCTGCACAGAAGGACTGTCAGAGTTGTTCACATTTTTGAAAAATTATAAATAAGTTTCCTAAAATAATCAAAACATTCATTCACAAGAAAGTGACTTAATCAATGTAGCAGTTTTGCTATTGTGAACAATGTCCTAAGTATAACTTGCTTCTGAGCTCATAGGAATCTGTGAAGAGGAAAAGGCAAAAAAAATCATAATTAAAAACAACACAAAGCCGAGTATGGTGATCCGTGCCTATAATCCCAGCATTCTGGGAAGCTGAGGCAGGAAGAATCAACATTCAAGCTGATCCTGGGCAACTTAGAGACCTAGCAAGACTCTATCTTTAATTAAGAGAAAAATTTTAAAAAGGGTTAGAGATGTAATTCAGTGTAAAGGCCCAGGGCTTCCAATACTCCCCTAATCTTTTTTATAGTTAGTCATAAAGTATGTCTGAATTGAACTGCATGCATTTTTAGAAGATAAAACACAGGCATCTCAGTCAAGAAAGTTCCGTGTGTGCATAAATGTAAATATACATATCTTACAGGTTGTGTGGCTTTAAATATCTTCCAGTATCACACAGAAAAAGAAGAACAGCTACAGTGGGATCAGTAGACCTCATCTCACATAAGGAAAGATTCAGGGAAACTACTAGGTTAAGTTTCCTTCTACTTCCTGAGAAGGCCCATGCTGCCACCAGGCAATCATTTACCACAGCATTCCCTATTCCCTTAAGCCTGGCACTGCTCATAGCTGATATAAACGATGACACCATGAAAAAAGGGACAACCACAGAGGTCCTGGGAAAATCACAGAGGACCATTTTAGTCCTGGTGACAGAAGGTTCACGGCTGCAAGAGCCATGTACATTGTACTTTAAAAGTGATTCATAGAGGGGTGCGTTGGTACACACCTATAATCCCACCACTCTGGTAGGCTGAGGCAGGAGAATAACAATTTTACTGAAACCCTGTCTCAAAATAAAAAATAAAAATGGCTGAGGATGTAGTCAGTGCGAAGGTCCCCGGCTCAATGCCCCAGTACTGGGGCGGGGTGAGAGGAGTGATTCGTACTTTGGCTACCTGACAAACACTTACGACCTGCTCTAACGTCTGGGTAATTTTCCTCAATCATCAACCCAAACAAAAAGATAAAAACAGGCTATCACAAAGAAGACACTGACAGGGTGGCAAACGTCTAGCGACCTTGGGGAACGGTGAAGGCATCTGCACGTGCCACAGCACTTTCAAAAAAGTGGGCATCACCACGTCTTTATGGTGGGAATCCAACTGCATCAGCGGGTGTCAAGGTGTTCTTCACTTGTTTCATCTCTTACACACATTTCCTGGGAGTGTGACGCGTCACAGAGGGACAGACTGTGAATCTGCACATACTGTAGTCAAACACGACCTTCATCTTATGTTTATACATGTGAGCAAAGGGGAAGGGACTTAACCAATGGCTCCAAGTATCCTGTCCACAGCTGGAATTTTCTTCCAGATGCCAAAAGAATGTATTACAAAACTGAATGAAGTGCTCATTGATATATTTGATGCCTGACCAACATGTGAATTTTGGTTGGCTATACTTGGGTCTCTATGCCCAAACTATGGAAACTAATGTTTTCACATCATGTACGTTTATGTGTGTACAAAATGTGTTCCAGGAATTTACGAATACAATAAAACCACACTCAATGGGAAAAATGCTATGAGACATGGGAAAATGAATTCAACATGTACAACTCCAAAGACATAATGAATGCAAGCCAGCATCTGTAAACACACAGACTTCTAATAATTATCCTACTATGAATAATAATAATAACAACAACAATAATAATAATACCCTGCAGGGGCAGAAATGTATTTGCCATTCATCTTACCTCTCACCACTTTCTAGATATGGGCAAGATGTAATTTAGCATTCTATAAAAATATAACTGAGGTTTGTAAGATTCATTTATTCATTAGTAACAATCTGAAGATTTAAGCTGACTACATGCTTGCTTTCACACTTCTACCCAATATACATTCAAGTGTAATTTTAATTGAAACTGATCTTCCACTTCAGATTTTAAATTAATTCTTCTTGGGAGTGCGTCATGCTCCAGACACCCTTGCCTTGCAAAACCCCCATGTCATTAGTGAAGGAAATAGAACGCTTTTTCCAAGCTTGCAGGTATTGATTACCTATTCTCACACCCAAGCACTGTTGCCACTCCACACTGTATAAATCTCTCTGGTGTTAAGACACTTTATAAAGGGCTCAGAATTATATCATTAATCATCTGAAGTAGCACAAAGTTTCATCGTATTGAATGTGCTGTTTTTGAGAACTTTGAATAAATGCTTCTAAGTGAAAAACATGACGAGAAGTAAAGACTACGGTTAACCTAAACTAGCTTGCAGAAAGAAAAAACAGCGAGCAAGGAGCTTTCCTCTTCAGGGACGACATTACCCACCTAACAAGAAGGAAAAGCCATCTGCACTTCTGTTTGCTCTTACTGACCCTTCCTGAGAATGAGTAGCGGACTTGCACGTCAGCAGCTCCTCACAGAGAACAGCTCACCAGCTCTGCCATCCCGTGTCATAAGCAAGACAACACTCTCCAAGGAAACCCGAGTGGAAACCAACACTATTCACTCGTGACAAGTCTGGCAGAAATGAGATCTGGATGGATTCCTCCTTCCAACCTATAAACACCAAGGGAATCTAAACATGGCTTCTCATTCAACCTGAGTTGAAAACCTTTTTTCCTTTTAATTACTGTAATAAATACCTCTGAAACCTCAGACTAAAGGTCTGACCTCTGTGTAAATGTCCCTTTGTCAGGGAGGCTAAGGGGTCCGTGCTACCCAGGCATTGGCTTCTTGGTTTCCTTTCGGTCTTGTGATCCCTACTGTAAGCTGTTGTTGATTCGGCAGTACCTGTCTTCCCCACTGGTGGTTAAGTCTGAGCAGAGGTTGCTTTGATGTCTTGTGTAGCACAAGATCCTCTGTATAGTAAGCCCTTAAGACACACATCCTTTTGTGCAAACAAATTGGAGATGAAACTGAAGACAGGCTGATTTCTATCGTGTAATGATGCTATAGAATATCCTCTGTCATGACTTAGTTTTAATTGTGCAAAACTGCCTACTCAGTCTTTACTAATTCTTCTTTCCTTCCTTGGTTTCGAGAGTCAGGATGCCAACCTCAGACGTCAACCCTCCTTTTCTTCATTAATGCATTAGTCTCCACAGTGATATGGTAAGTTACGCTGCAGACACAGGACACACACGACAGCGTGTGTGTGAAAACCTCACAAGCTGACCAAGGGTGACTCGGGTATTTTAAGGCAAGAGCGCTTTACCTCCAATGACTTGGGAAACATGATGATGTTTTAGACATGCCTTGTATTTTGCCTGCTTTAACAGACTTCTCTAATCGAAGAAGGTCAACAAAGGAGGAAATTAAATCTTATTAATCAATCCATGACTGTATCCTTTAAAATACTGGCTCAGCATTTGCTCGGTACCAGCCACAGAGCTGAGAAATGAGAGTTAGGGAGCGGGGCTGCCCCAGTTTCCTTGACCAAACTAAGTTGCTTGTGGCTTTCTGTACAGTGAGGTGTCTGCAGCAGAGTAAGGTTGGGGGGTGATAGGAGACAACCCTTGGTAAGTACTTACAAAAGAATCACACAATAAAAGCTTCGAAAGTGCTAGCTTTTGTTGTTGGGCTATAAAGCATGCAGTAGGCATGTCAGTCAACCAGGTATGCATGGACAGAGAAGGACACCCCCCACCTCTTCTAGGACAGGATTTGCAGAGGGGTCATTTGCGTAGCATCACTTCCTGAATTATAGAGTTTATTGGGCAGGTTTTCCCAGTTGGGCAGATAATAAGAATTAAAAAGAAAAATAGCTGACTCCTTGAGAAATGGGGCTTAGCCCCACCTTTGGTAGCATTTAGCAACCTGCATGCAAAGAATTAAGTAAAGAGAGACACAAATAATAGGGGCACATTTCTGTAATCCCAGCACTTGGAAGGCTGAGGCAGGAGGGTTGCCTCAAGTTCGAGGTCAGCCTGAACTGCAAAGCAAGATCCTGTCTCAAAAACAAAACAAACAAAAACCTTTAGATGAAGAAGAGACTCCACAATGGCAGCATCTTTATACAATGGAAGAGTTTTTATAATGGCAGTAAAGACCCACAAGGGCCACCTAACCCTAGAGAAGAAGGTTCCTCCCCAGGGTGGCATTAACAAGTCACTGTATTTTTGCATCACGGGCAATGCAAAGCGGCTCGTGAGGAATTACCGGCAGTATGCACAACAGACCAATTCAAACCGAGGGACATTCTATAAAACACGTGACCAACACCCTTCAAATACGAAAAAGCTATACAAAACCCAAGAAATACTAGGACCTTGTCACAGACCAGAGAAGACATAGGAGTCAGGACAATAAACACAACATAATGGTCTAAGCTGATTGACAGATCCGAAAATGGGAATGCACGGGGAAATTCTTTAGTTCTGAGTAATTTTGAGTTCAGTTCATGGTTATTGGTTTCCTATTTGATCTTGGTCATTGGGCCTTTCTTTTGTGATTACTCTGCCAACCAAATGAAGAAATATTCAGGACACTGCACAGAAGCGGAAGAAAATCTAAGTTTTGTTAATTGGGTTAAGTTTTAACATTCTGACTTGACTGGAGTTGCTGATGAACATTAGGGAGCATGCCCATGGCATAGGAGGTGAGGAAAATGG